TCTGCCTGTTAAAAGGAAGTTTTTCCTTGCCACAGTCACCAAGTGCTTGCTCATGGTGGGGACTGTGGGACTGTGATAATTTTATAAGGAGTACGGTCTAGACCTGCTTTAAGTGTCATGAGACATATGAATTGGCGCTATACAAATATAATTTGAATTGAATTGAATTGAATTACAGAAAATTCATCCATTTTAATTATACACTCCATGGGAAATAGACATAATATAATAATAATAATAATAATAATAAATAATTAAACTTAAATCTAACTTAAATATTTAAATTACTATAAAAAATATTATTTCTAAGAAATTCTAACACCTACATTAAATTCATGTGAGCAGCAGGTATACTTTATCAAAGCTGTCCTTTCGATCCTGTATGAACAGAGAAAATATCTTTCTTTTTTGTAGTTTGTTTTTCTTTTGTTTTGATAGGACCTTTCTTGATACAGACATATTCGGCCATCTACTGTTTCTGTCAGTAATTAGATTTCCCTGGTGAATTCTATACTCCTGAGAAGGCTGGACAGTCAGGGGACTGTAGCTGCAATCCTAGAAGTCATGAAATTGACTCAGCAAACCATGTGTGAAAAATCAGCACTTTGTAGAGTAAAATATACGCACCGTGACTTTCAGCCATGCTGTGTTCTTTATGGATTTACTGGGACATCTTTACTGTCCTGAAAATTACATCTCACGAGAGTGAAATCCATGGGGGTTTTTTTATATTGTTTATCTACAGTCTTAATGTATTTGTTTATTGTAACACTACCTAATGTCCCATTCAAAGTGATATAAAACCGAAAACCTAATCAGATCTTATCAGCCCCTTTTCAATGGTATAATAACTATTATGTTGTATGTGGTCATGCTTATTCATTAATTAATTCCATACAAATCCATTATGATAAAAATGCCATAATTATGAATTATGTTGTCTGTGACATGTTGTTTCCATCAGCCTTCCATTTGAAATATTAGATCAGAGGTTTACCAGAGGGCTTCCTCTTGCCATCTGGTTTTGTTGTCAACCCACGACTGCTTTCTTTAGTCCTCAGACCTGCAGTACAGTCTACAGTGTCTCATTTA